TACAATGTATAATAAAATTTTGCGTTAACTATTGCGTCAGGTAATTCAAAAATTCAGTTACGTTTTAGTTGTACGTCTTGAAACGAAAACATCTACTTCTGAACTGGTTTGTCTTATTCGTAATTTTTGAATAGCTTTCGAAAGTGTTGGTATTTGTTGTTGATCGTTGTTAAAATTATATTCAACACGATAGGCGACTGAAAACTTTAAGCCGATTTTGACAACTTATTGGAATTAATTTTGCGGTTTCAATGAATCTTAAATTATTCTGGTTAAATTGTCAAGTAATAATCGAACGTTAATTAATGTTTGGTGTTATCTAGAAAGAAAATTAATTCGCATATCATCTAAGAATTAAAATAATTTGTGGTCGCATTATTGTTGGCGTTGTTTTTGGTGATTAGGGTTAGGTTTTTTAACAAATTAGTGACGCCTGATATATTCGATCGTTTTAAAATAAATCGATCGATTTTATTTTTCCATTAAATGACTCGTTTAATTAATATTTCAATATCTTGTCTTGCCTCCCCTAATTAAGAAATTGACTAATTTTAAATGAATTCAAATTCGATGGTGTGTTTAAATGCAATCTCCATTCGAAATGAATTAATTAACCTTGAAATGAGAAATTGTTCACAGTAAATAATACTAATTGGTAGATAATTGTTATTTAATTTACGAGCACTTCGATATCTAATTATTTGTATCAGTGCAGGAAGTAATCTACTTCAAATAAAAATGATGATAAGCTGTGGTATGATTTACTGGTAATTACGATTAACTCAAGTTCGACAGCCAATTAGAATCGAACTTCGATCTACGTCAGTTGAAAGTGATAAGTATGTCAAATGTTACGATTCCACGTGTTTTCTGGGAACGATGTAACAGGTACGGTCATCTTCGTGCTCTTTTCATCCCGATTTCGTAATAATCAATTCTCACAATTTAGAGAGAAAGTGACCGATCTTACGTAACTTGGTCGTGTCAAAATTCGATGATTTCGATATTGGTTTCGATGGTTTCGGGATGAAGCGACAGAAATCCATCGATGATACTTATTTGATTCCCTAATTAGCATCAGAGATAGAAAGCAACGAATACTTTTTCTTCGATATCGCTTAATTAGCAATTTTGCTAATTATAATATATACATATGTATCGTATGGAATGATGTAACGTAGTTGTAGCAATGTATAGTACGAATGTTCCACGAATCTCGAAGATTCTGCTGGGATCTTTCGTTGGTACAACTAGCAATGGATTTCAGATAACTGTTCTTCCGTTTCTTTCAAACTTTCTAATTGTGCAGCGGAATAGGATTATTTTTCGAATTGTTTCACGTTGCTGCAAGTACTCCATTATTTACTATTCTTGTCGCCCGGTGAATACCGCTATTGTTAGATAAAAATCTTCGTGATAATCCGGAAACAATTACACGTACCGGGTGTTCCAGAAATGTCTGTCACGACTGCAGAAACTCACTTTACTTTGACGACGAAGATAGACCACGTGGCTTACCTGAAACATAAATAATTTAGCATATAGTTTCGGTATTTATAACCAAATAAGATCAAACAAACAATTCAAAACGTGATATTATTACATAAATAATTATCATATAAATAATTTCAGATGCTACTTTAGTATTTATAACAGAATTGGCTAAAACATAAATTATTTACAATGTAATAGTAGTATTTGTTCGTGAATTAATGAAAACATAAATAATTTACGATGTAATGCTAGTACATATTTGTTTCTGAATTAACTAATATATAATTAATTTAAAATGTAATTCTATCATTTACTCGTGAATTAATTGAGACATAAATAATTCAATATGTAATGTTATTATTTAAGTTATACGAAATTAATATAAATTAAGAAGTATATTTATGAGTTGTGCTTAAATGAAATTCTGAAAATGCATTTATTAAAATATTAATATTAGGGTCATTAATCTTGACGATATATATTTGTACATAGGTCAACGTCATTTTTAAGCGGGCGATAAGAATTTTATTTTCTATAAATACGAAATAACGTATTAAAATACTTTCACCGAAGTTAATTTAGAGAGGAATAATTGATTTCACCCATTCGATTAGGTTACTTTGTTTCCGTGCCTACGTACATGGAGTGATAGTTACTGTTGCATAATAAGAAATAACAAACCTGATGGTACTACCCTACAGCAATTCTAATATATTAATGTCGATAAAGTTAGAATAACGGCAGGCAGAAATAATGGAATAATAATAATAATAATAATAAACAGTAATAATAAGGTAATAATAATAATAATAAGCAGTAATAATAAAGAAATAACAGTAAGAAATAATAAAAATGAAGTAATAATAACAATAAAGAGTAATAATAAAGTAATAATAATAGTAAATAGTAAAAATGAAGTAATAATAATAATAAACAGTAATAATAAAGTAATAATAATATTAAATAGTAAAAATGAAGTAATAATAATAATAAACAGTAATAATAAAGTA